ACATTGAGCTGTGAGATGTGAACAGCTCCATTGAAATGCATTGGACAAGCTACATTGAGCGACATAGAGCTGATATTTGAGCGATTTTGGAGCTGAAATCGCTCGATAAATCGCTCAGTGTGAACAGGGTCTGAATTCCACTGCTAATATATTTATGATAGATTGTAACCCTGCTTCTGCAATGAGAAATACTCAGACATGGATATGTATCTGCTAATGGTGATAAGGTTTTTACAATGGTCTGAATACGTTTTATAATCCAGGCCTGGATAAATATGTGGTGATTGGCATGTACAATAGGTTTCAAGAGCAGGTCTCTTTTAAAGTTTCCAGATTCCCTGAGACATTTTTTTTGGTTTCAAGACATATGTAGGCTGGGTCTGTGTGTTGGAGGAGGATTACTAGAATGTGCTAATTTTCTGCGGAGCCCACAGATAACGGCTTTAAATCTAATTCTTGTTGCAGAATGGTGAATTTTAACAGAATATGGATGTCAAAGTGTTATTGAGTTTTGGCGGTGCCCAGAACTCATTACTGCCACAGTACTCCCTTCTTAGGGAATTAACATATAGGGAAAGGCCCTAAACAGAAGCTAGTAGTGGCGGTGCTGATAGTAGTGTTTGCTATTGATGATGAAATCTGTTCCTAGGTATTATACCGTTCACCCCCGAAGGAGCCGCCAGAATATACCAAGCCATCAATAGCCTGTCTAGGGATTATAGCAACCTGCTTCCCCCAATAGCATTAACCGCCCTCTTCAAGTGACCAACAGAGCCAATATCCAGGACAGAAGTATGATGCTGAAGAACTTTATTTACATATTTACACTGGGAGAGAGGGTATAGGGGTCTAGACATCCTGGTTAAAACAGTCACAGACTCTAGACTCCCTAGTCCCTTTTAGTATTTCAAGGTAGATTCAATAGGAACACTAGCTGGATATTTGAGCAGCAGATGAGCAGGGATTGGCACAGAATCTTCAGTTGGAGAGACACCAGCCTAGCTCCTGAGGTCCTCTCTATTCCAGGCACCTCCAGTAGCCATCAGCTTCCCTGGTTCTCCTTCTCAATCTGTAGCACAGGGCTCCTCCAGGCTTGAGGCCTAGCGAAACACTTCCCGCACTCAAGTATTCCCAGGCCTAGGCTGCACCAAGCCCTGACTGGACACATGTATATAAACACTCCCCAGCATGCATCACTGGCTATCAGAACCCCAGTGATTGGCTGATGGACTGCATACACTCATAGTGTCCCCCATTGGTTGTCCCACACTGCAGCAGAGTCACACTCCACTCAGGCAAGTACAATCAATGCCAGACCACTTGGAATTAACCAGATAAATGGCAACTATAATTCAGCTAAACTGACTACAGCTCTGGCAATCACTAAATTTCAATTAGCCACTTCACAAAAGGTGATGGGGCTAGAGTATTTTGGCAAACAAATATAGGCAGGGAGGTGCTATGACTACTTTAGAGGAAAACCTTTTGAGCTGGACTGTACAGTGGAACAGACTTGATAGACTAGCTTAGTGTACAGTGGCAATGTACTGTATATTGTATGATGTGTGATTAGCAAGTGGTTTTGAATTGTAATAGGGCAGGAACACTGCACTAGGACAGGAGGACTCTTAGACATGCAGCAAGAAAAAGTGCAAAAATATATTTTTCAAAGCATTGTAGTGCGCAACAGCCTGAGTCCTGAAGACTTACTATGGTAGCAATAGGATTACAAAAAATCCCATTTGTTTAAAACATGTATTTATTTGGAATATTTTTTTTAGTAGTTTAAACACACAAAGCTGATGAGTAAGCAAATCCTGAAAAGCCCTAGAAAAATCTTTGAACTGTAACAAATAAAAAAAACAAATGAACTGTACTTGAACAGATGAATCGTATATAGAAGTGCGCAATAAGCTTAGCTGCAATTGGTGCATTAAATAGGCAGTGTTAAAATGTAAAAAAAAAAATAATTACCATTTCCAAGCAAATATTACAATGAAATGTCACAATATTTTTTTAGACACACTGAAACATGTCTCCATTAAAGGAGGACTATGGGGTTAAGGCTTTTCCCCACAGTTCTCCTTAGGGTAACGGGAGGACACAAACTAGCGTTCAGGTAGCAGGGGGTGTTACCTCTGCTCGGGGACCACTTGCACAGCGCAGGGCACGGGTTCCCCTCCAGCCTGGTTGAACTCCTGGTGCCCGGGCTGCGGGTGCGCATGCACAAGTCGCGCGGTGGGTGCGCATGCGCAGTACGCAGGCTGCGCGCGTATCCCGGAACCACGCGCCTAGTGCTCCGGTACAGCTCGCAATTATGTCTGGATCCGCCCAGCTGCGTGAGTGACAGCTGGCTCTGCCTATCCAGGCAGAGCCAGCTGTACCCGCCCCCCTGTCCCGTCCGTTCCGCCAGTCAGCGCTGGCGGATCGGAGCGGGGAGGGGGGAATCCAACCCCTCCCCTGTCATGGCAGAGGGACGTGACAGGATCGAGAGGTGAGCGAACGCCGGTATGTGTTCGCTCACCTCCCGATCTACTGAGCTGACCTGTGACAGTCTCATTGTCACAGGTCGGCTAGAACTATGAGCTGAGTGAAAAGCACTCACTACATAGTTCTCCTTTAAATTGGAACTGTAGAATAAATTGTATGTTGTTGTTCGTATGTAAATATTTATCATAAACCAGATGGTAATGGTTTATTTTAGGTTAACATTATTTTTGTGCTCTGAAGAAAGCTTTTGTGTTTTGATTAGGAATTTGGAGTAGAGTGATAGAGTGATAGAGTTTGTATAAGTTGTTGAATACAGGTATTCCTCACTTAACGACCGAGTTCCGTTCCTACGACCAGGTCGTTAAACGAATTGGTCGTTAAGTGAGGAACTCTATACAGTACTGTACTGCATTAGTACAGTACTGTATAGCGTTGCAGATGTACCGTACCGAACAGTGTACTGTAAATCGGGCAATTAAAATACTTACCGGGACCTGCAGTGAAGATTGGAGGACATCACTTCCGCCGGCGACACACCGCACTGACACTGACGCTCTAGGTCGGAGGTCGATCGGCGGTCCGTCGTGAGTGCGAGTGGTCGCAAAGCAGGAAAGTCGGTAACCGAGGAATGTCTGTATATAGTACATATATATGTGTACTTTGTCAGTAGCCACCATTGATGTATCAGGCCCTTTGGAACATGAAGCATAGAGTAGGAGTGTATTTATAAACAATTTGCAAAGCCATTTACCCTGCAAAATTGCATGTACATCTGCTTTGTGTCAATGGAGTCATGAACAAATGTTATTAGCATATTTTATTTCCAGGTCAAATGTAATATCCAGTAAATACCTCCTTATGGCAACTAGATGGAGGTGAGCAGCATAGGAAAGAAGTATTTATTTTCTTTGAGTCAGCTCTATGAGTCAGCTCTATCTAGTGGTCATGGTGCAGTATTTACCTGATATTACATTCAACCTGGAAAGAGAATAAGCTAATCACATTCGTGTTATTTCCTCCATTTGCACAGACCAACTGTATGTGCAACTTGTTTATTTATAAATACACTCCTTTAATCTTTAAAGCTCAATTACATTTTACTTGAAATCAGATACATTAAATTTTACTTTAAATCCGCTATTTGCATAAAAAAAGTGTGCAAAGTCTAGAAAACCTATCTTCTGCCAGCATGCCATAAATAAATACCCTTGTAGCCTGTCTGGAATCCATGGTCTCTCTGCAAAGGTCAGGCACACTCCCTGCTGCATCAGAGCAAGAGGTCTCCAAACAGCAGGGAGCATGAGCTGTGCTGACTGCAAAGCAACTGTACTGCATAGATCTGTCTCAGCAGGGGTTGTGATGGACCTCTGCAGAGAGAGAAATGTATTTGGCTGACTTAAATTGTAAGTTCAGTTGCAAAAGAAAGCTCTACCTGCCTCAAAAAAATGATACAAAATGCATTTGTTGTTGCATGTCCAAGTAATTCGCAGTCAAACTATGACAGTGCTGAAAACTGAAAAGGCCTGGCAATGAAAAGGTAAATGAAGTGATTGAAGTTGCAATAGATTGTCAGCTTTTTTGTCAGGTGGCAAACACACTATATGCTTGTAACCTAGCAATAACCACACTACATAACAAAGGTTACATAATTTTCTAGTACATGTTCTCTCTCAAGAGGACATTTTTTCCCAAAGAATGCACAAAGGACAAGGGGGGGTGAGAACCTAGTGGTATTCAATTATCATTATAATGTATTGCTGGGACATGTAGCCCTACATAGCTTGCAGTATTCTGCATTGCTGTATAATGATTATACAGCAATGCAGAGAATAGCACCAGCTATGCAGGGCTACATGCCTTAGCAACACATTAAGTAGGGATGCACCAATGTCAATACTGGGCATTTGCACGAGTGCTCGTACTCGTGAAAATGCCCCGGTACTAAATGCAGATATTGCCACTAAATTTTTAAACCGAAGTGGTTGCCTGAGGTCCTGCTCTTGCTTACGGCAGCCTTCATGTTAACCAAACAGTGCCTGTTTATAGTGCCTTCCCTTGTGGTGGGGGGTTGGGGGGCCCTTCATGGTTTCTTGCACCTGGGCCCTGAAGTTTCTAGTTACGCCTCTGTATTGATCTATAGTATCGATTCAACTGTCTTGTGTGGTGGGTGTGCTTTTTTCCCCCCATTAGGCAAAGATTGCTATATTTGTTCAGGGAGTTATATTTTGTCAACCTTTACACTAAAATTGCTATATGCTCCTTAAACATCTTACTTGCCATATACTCACATTACATTCTTTATAGAGGATCAGCATTTCTTTTTCCCTCATGTGTTTTGTCCACAAAGGAATCATGGTGTACACCTTTGTAATTATAAAAATACATAAATTATAATAAGTGATTTTGTGACACATGTAAAGCCCTTACCCTGATAATGCTAACATTTTCTGTTACTTCATTTGTTGTACTTTTTTCCCATTACCATTTTAATAGTGTGTTTTTTATAACAGCTCATTTGCTGGAGGGTCGCAAATACCAGGAGGGCTATCAAACCCACCTTTTAAGCCAGGTATTTAAAATGATGATTTTTTTTTATTGTTCTATAGTATTTGTTGTTTTACTTGAAAATAAGCCAGATCACTGAGCATATGGCCTACAAATATATGCGTTCCCTTCTGTATTCACTCCAGCTTTTTAAGGTTGGCTTATGCAAGCCTATGACTATCAGTACTAGACAAGGGGAAAGAACAACATCATCCCAGAAAACACTCATTTAGAATTGTGCACCTTCTACCTTGTTTATCTTTATCCACCCAACTCCGTTATTTCTATCAGATATTCTAATAAAAGTGTACAGTCTTGTCAAGTTTACTTTTTAAAATACAATGGATGGAATTTATTAAAATTGGAGCAGGCAGGGGGGTGTGGTTTGCTCATGGCGCTGGACGGTCGCATCTGAGCTGAGCTCTAATAACTGATTCGCACAGCTTTTACCCTCTGCCCTTATCATCTGCTCTCTCACCTGCTTCAAAAATGGGGAAGAGGGGGAATGGGTCAGAGGCCAGAAAGATGCCTGCCTCTGGCACCATTGAGTGCTTTCTCACGTCGGACACAGAGACCCTTTGAGGGCCGCCGGATCGGTCCTTGTCTCCACGTGGTGGACTCCCTGCCTCCTTGTCTAGTGGTTCTCTCTACTGGCTCTCCTGCATCCTCTCCCTCCTCGAATGACTCAGTTCAGAGGTCTGAGGATCATGACCCGGGAGTTTTGGAGGTCATGAAGGACTTGCCTACAAAATCTGACTTGGCTGGGATGTTTAAGTCAGTGGAACGCTCCCTTACCAAAGAGCTGTCGGCCATGGACTCTGACCTCTGCTCACCTGTTAACAAGGGTCGGAGTCGGAATCTCGGCTGGACACACATACTGCGGCGCTGCGAGAGCTACAGGAAAGTAATTGCTCTACGGAAAATTATATTTGATGGCACAGAAATGCATGATAACCCACTAAAGTTCGATATATACGTTTCTATTTTCTTCATTCAACCTACTGGTTGAACAAAGAAAATAGAACAGATTTGTTTATTAATGCTTACAAGTGTTGATCAAGGAATCTCCTGCTGTTTAGACTGTATTTTGTGCTAGCCGCTGACGGAATACCTGAACAGAGTAAGCAGCTTATGTGCTGCTCAGTCTGTTCGGCCGAGAATTTTCCAACATGCTCCTTAGATCAGCTGATCGAGGGATGCCGGTCGGAAAGGTGTTGACAGCGGCATCCACACATGATGAAGCGTGTATTCCTGGCTTTAGGCTACGGTCACACTGGTGTGCACATCCATACAGTGTGCATGCCCATGCAGAGAACTGCTCCCAAGAGGGACAGGTGCAGCCTATAATTGCATGCAGACACCTGTACATCCCTATGCAGGATGTGGCTGCACGTGGCTGACCCTCCTGGCAGCAGGTCTGTGCACAGGTGTGCATGAGGCTGAAAATGCATACTGTTGACTTTTTCATGAAGAAAGCAAAATCTGATTGTGTTATCTCGAAAGGTGTACTTTAAGCAACAGCACATGCCAATTGTATTTTCTGTAATCTTTTTACCTACTTTTTTTCAGTCTACAAGTCACCTTCTGAAGGCAATACCAGACCACCAGCTCCAAACCCTAATTCACAACAAAATGATGTAAGACTAGAAAATATTTTGTAAAAATTATGACAGAATTGGGGTTTATGGGGATTCATTCCTGCTATTGCATAGTAACATAGTATGTAAGCCTGAGAAGACCAAGGTCCATCCAGTTCAATCTATATGTGTGTGTGTGTGTGTGTGTTTGTGTGTGTGTGTGTTATCTTACTGTAACACTTCTCATATCCCTGTAGATTCTGCAAAAGAAGAAACTCAGCCAGAAATTTCTTGAATTTATCAATGTTATCCACAGATACCACTCCCTGTGGTAGTGAGTTCCAATCTTTCACCAATCTCACACTGAAATACCCCTGTATTAATTGAACCCCCTCTCTTCTAACCTTTTGTTGTGTCCCCAGGTTCTCAATACAGTTTTGGGATTAAACAGCTTGTTCCTAATATTGGGGTCCCCATTGATGATTGTAAAGACTGCAATAAGGTCCCCTCTTAATCGTCTCTTTTCTAAGGTGGATAAGTTTAGATTTTGAATGCGGTCTTCATAACTCAGGTTTTCAATCCCTTAAATAATTTTGTAGCCCTTCTCTGAACTCTCTCCAGTTCCAGGATGTCCCTCCTGAGAGTGGGTGACCAGAACTATTGCGCATACTCAAGATGTTCATTAACTTTAGTCAATCAGGTTCTATAAACCTTGTCAGTGATACTCTTGCCCTTCTCTATAGAGATTATATGTATGAAAAGTGAGCTCACTACAACATTTTTTTCTTCCACTTAGAATACTTGTAGAAATATTTTTAGAAATGATGGTTGGAATTCTATTAGTTGCTATTTTTCTTGTTTGCACACTTTTCATACATAATTCTCTATAATGTTTGGGTTTGTCATATTTTTTGTTGTAAAAAGTAAATATCTTTTAATCCTAAGACTGCTGTTACCCTCTGTAGAGAACTTGGAGGTCATGAAAAGAAAGTATGTTACTATCTCTAGGTGCTCAGGGCAATACACAGTCCAAAATCAAAACATTCATTAACGTTTTATTGTTGCCATAAAACACTCCGGCAACATGTGGAAAGAATCACCATGCATTCTAACAACTGTTGCTACTGTGGGATTATGTGAACTAAAACTGCTTTTAGTAGAAACAATCTTCCAGGAGGTTATTAATACACTGTTCAATTAGCATTCTTTTGGTGTGTTTTAATCTACATATTTATTATATTTTAGGTTATTTCTTTGGAACAGTGGTATTTGGGCAGTATGTCAAGAAAGGACGCAGAGATTTCTCTCAGATCAATAAATCAGGTAACTGTTAAATTTGAAAGTATTACTGTTTAAATTATTGCTACAGAAACATTTTAACAGAAAAGTTTAGATAATGTCATTAAAGATAATGGGACTTCCCATAACATCTTGATCCTTGTTGCAGTAGTATCCACAAGCAACCTCCTCGATCTTCTTACAGCTCATTGAGGCTCACCCTGTTATACTGATCAGACATGATCTTTTCAGCATAATACTAGTAGTGGACTTTTAAAGAACCCATGTACATCATCTTTTATTTAGTATACAGATCAAAATAATAAAACAATAAAAAAAGAGATAAACCAACAAAATATGGCTCCATTAAAAACACTATTGTCTCATTGAATCATCCCTTCCGTCATACCTGTGTATAAACACAATAAGGTAAGTATTTACAGTTTCCTCTCATAGGTCATGTTGTACCATATCCAATATATTTGTCAGAGCACAATGAAAACTAGACAAGCGAAAGGTGCTAGTTAAAATATTTATTAAGAACAGTGTCCACAGGAGCAAGCAGAATCATAAACCAGAAAAATCCAGAGTCAGGAGTGGGTAGTCGTCCAAGCCAGATCAGGAACACAGAGATCAGCGTCGTCAGGAACAAGCCAGGAGCAGGAGCCAGGAAATCAGCATTGTCAGGAACAAGCCAGGAGCAGGAGCCAGAGAAGAACGTCAGCCAGGATAGGGTCATATACAGAATCAGGATACTCAGAGCAGCAGGAATGCACTGGCAGGAAGACCACACAAGGGCAAGGTTAGACTGGACTGAGTGGTTTATATATAGTAAGTGGGGTGACATCATCACTCAGAGACAGGAAACTCCCATCTGACTCTCTCAGATGATGCTCTCCTGCCTGGCCATAGGAGGGAGCCTGGGAGTAGTGAGCAACGTTCCAGAGACTGCTCAGACAAAGAAGGAAACAGGTGAGTAAAATGGCAGCCAAGCCAGAATGCTGCAAACCAGTGAAGTCAGGGTGGAACCCTGACAATATTACAATATAGGTGTTCAGATGGGAGTTTGCTCTATGCTTTTCTCAGATAAATCCGCTTCTTTAGGAGCAAAATGAGACATGCTAAAGATACATAGAATGACACAAATTTATATCTGTATGATGGTAGAATCCATAATAAAGATTACACATATGCAGATAGTGAATAAACATACAAAACTTTGTCTTACTTGAAGAAGATATTCAAAAAGAAGAGCCATACATCCAAACACATCAAATAGTGGACTCCTGTGGGCGAGCACAGAGATAGTATTGTGGAGCCTCCCTCACTGCAAACCCCAAACATAGCGTACATCTAATGTTATAATGAATATATGTTAGTACAGTCAGAACTCCACCCTAGATCCATGTATCAAAAAGGTGGGGGTACTCGTCTATGCTACCACGCAGAGATGAAGATAGTCACTGTAGTCAGACAGTACCACTATCGACTGTAATGTAGGGTTATGTTTCCACCTCCTAATTTCTATACTATAGAATTGATATTACTAGTAAGCACAACATTCATGAACCTTCAGAAGTAAAGATTAGGTACAACTACCTAACCTCAGGGGTTATCTATTTCTCTTGAAGAGAATACATTGTACAAAGACTGACTGAAAGGGGTCCGTTACCCAATATAGGTACTCTAATGCTAAAACTGCACAAAGAAAGAGGCATACAGGTATATGCAGTAGGTGGCAAGAGATTCCAAATCGCCAATGAATACATGCTTCTGTCATACACTAACCTTAGTCATCTGAGTACTAACCTAGCACTTCCACTGAATCTGGTTTGGGAATGGACATAAATATGGAAACATCACCATGGACCATGACTCCAAATTTAGGGGCCATTCCAAAAATAACACAAGCACTCACAACTCACAACAGTTGTGGAGGTCCAACAGGATGGGGCAGATGTAAACACAAATATGGCAAGGTGAGATAAGGTGGGTGAGCAAGAAAAGCTCACTTTCACTTTCCTTGCGGTGAGTTACAGAATCTCCCCCCTTTTCTTGCTCACCCACCTTATCTCACCTTGCCATATTTGTGTTTACATCTGCCCCATCCGGTTGGACCTCCACACCACCCATCCTAAGAGGGACCGTCTCTCCCACTGCTCCACTCCATCTCACGGCCTTCGTAAAAGCGAATTATCGACCTACCATAGGTGAGTACATCACCTACCCCTCTCATCCAACTTCGCCACATTTATTGCGCCAAGTAGTGGTGCTTCCGTTCTCCAATTTTTTTTTCCTATTAACTAATCATGCAGCGCCTGCGTAATGTGTCTCCGTGCCGCTGGCACATCACATCCCTGCATTATTGTTGGGGGTGTGCCCGCTAACGGTGTGAGGCAGATGTAAGGCGATCCCTCACTGCCAATGGCAGCCACATTGAGGGTGGACAGGTAGTGGTCTCTCCTAAGCCATATGGGTTATGACATCGAAGGGGTTAGTAAGGTTAATACTCAGATAAATAAGATCAGTGTATGACAGCAGCATGTATGTATTGGTGATTTGGCATCTTTTGCCACTTACTGCATATATGCCTCTTTGTTTATGCAGTTTTAGCATTGGGCAATGGACCCCTTTCAGTGAGTCTTTCCACAATGTATTCTCTTCAAGAGAAATAGACATCTTCAATTGCCTTTTTACCTAATCTTTACTAGTGAAGGTTCATGAATGTTGTGCTTACCCTACAACTGTACATTACAGCTGATTACTGTCTGACTACAGTGACCATCTTCATTTCTGCAGGGGGTAGGTAGTATAGACGAGTACCCCCTCCTTTTTGGTATATGGATCTAGGTTAGAGTTCTGACTGTACTAACATATACTCATTATAACATTACTATATTTGGGGTTTGCAGTGAGGGAGACTCCACAATATTGTCTCTGCGCTCGCCCACAGGAGTCCACTATGTGTGATGATGTCTTTGGATTTATGGCTATTTTCTTCAAGTAAGACAAAGTTTTGTATGTCGATTCACTATTTGCATATGTGTAATCTTTGTTATGGATTGTACCATCACACAGATATAATTTTGTGTCATTCTATGTATCTTTAGCACGTCTCATTTTTGCTCCTGAAGAAGCGGATTTATCCAAGAAACGCATAGAGCTGACTCCCATCTGAACACCTATATTGTAATATGTTGAATATGGTACAACGTGACCTATGAGAGGATGTAATAAAACTATACATATTTACCTTTATTGTGTTTATACAAAAGTGTGACGGAAGGGATGATTCAATGAGACAATAGTGTTTTTAATGGAGCCATATTTTATTGGTTTATCTCTTTTTTTTAAACGTTTTATGCTGTTGATCTGCATACTAAATAAAAGATGATGTACATTCAAAATACTGAACAACATAGTGTGAGTGGGTACCTCAAAAGTCAGCTACTTGTATAATTTTGTTATAATTATTGTTGAAATTGGATGTCGTACCCCCAGATGGCCTATCCACCCCAGAAAATGTTGGGTGTGTATTATCTTTTCAGCACTAAAAATACTATCCAAATGGAAGCAAAACTGAAAGAGAAATACTGTTAAGTGTGTATCTACAGAGGTTACAGCAATTGCATTTGCAGCCTTGCTGTGGTTTCAGTATGGCTCTCCTTGCTTGGTCATGCAACATAGATCACATATTTTGCAGAAGATGTTTGGGAAGCCCTATGCCTTGGTTGTGTAACTTCTCTGTGTAATTTGTAAGTGTATAGTTTTGCGAAAGCACATTAGCAAAATGTTTTGGTGTTTCAAAGACAGAAGTTTTCTAGAGACAATTAAATGATTTATGGTGTTTCAGCACTTGGCCTGTATTGAAAATTTTAGGGCTGCTGGGGGTAATATCCAAGAGATGAGTGAGACAGTTTTTTTGTCTTCTAAAAGTTGTAAAGCAGAGCACTCCTCAACAGCAGCACAACAGATGGGCACCACATGCTACAGTCACATTCAGGTAGTGTTCCTGGGCTAGTCTGCTTCATCTGTCATGGACAGGAACTCACTTTGATTCAGATTAATTCCTTTACCTTACTACTCCTTTCCAGAACTTGACATTCTATCCATTCTTTCCTTGGTCATAGTAAACTTTTTTTTTCACAGTGGTCCATGTCCTGCATATGTATAAAAAAAATTAACAATTTACTGACAAGTCTCTTCCCAAGAGGACAAGCATGATATCTTATTAACTGGTGGCAAACAGACAAATTATACATCAACGTTTG